GGGCCCCTTTTCCTAGTTATCTGATGAGAAAGTGGGGATTTCTCTTCAGTTTATGCTGTCTGCATAGTTCTCCATCTCAGATTATCCTCAGGTCAAAGCCAGAAGAGGAGTAACTTTGCCAGTAAATTCATCACTATGCTAGTCATTCTTTAAGTTTTGACTTCCTTACCCAGTCACCCTGCTATTGTTTACTTTTCAGAGACCACAGGTAGTTGCTTTTTATTTTCTGTTCAGTTACAGTCAGTTGGAGAGAAATGCTATAGTGGGCTTGCTCTGTCTTGGCCAGCACTGAAAATCTCTCATGGTTTTGAGTCTTTATCCTTCCTCCTTTCACCTTTTGCCTAAATCAGATGGCACCTCAGGCCTTTCATTTAAACTTTATTAGTTAGCATAAGGCTTTAACAGAGACCAAATAACAGTGCTTTAACCGAGACAGAAGTGCATTTTTCTCTCAAGAAACTGTCAAAAGGTAAATAGTCCAAGATGGGGGGCGGCTCTACTACCTTCTCCTGTGGTTCTACCACTGGGTCAAGTCAGCTGCTCCACTTCTCATCATTTACCAATTAACAAATAGGAAGAAAAGGGCAGGAGAGCAAGTGTGCTTTTTTTTTTTTTTCCTTTTAAGAATATAACCTGGAAGTGACACCATTATTTCTCCCCATGTCCCATTATCTGGAATTGAATCACCTGGCTACACCACACTGCAAGGAAGCTTGGGAAATGAAATCTCTAGCTTAGTGGCTATATGTCTAGTGAAATACTCAAAGACTGCTAGTACTAAACATAGGGAAAATGGATCATAGTGGAAAACGGTCTGCCATATCCTGAAATTTTTTGTGGGGGAGGAATGGAGCTATAAAATACCAAACGATGCTAGCTAAGATATTTTTTAAATCTTTAAAAAATGTAAAGCTATAAGATAAGTCTCCAGAGGCAACACAAAATGGGAGTAAGAATCCAGAGAAGCAAGCAGCAACTAATTACCAATGATCTATGCCTTTTAAATTAATGCTAAAGATAAATTTTTATTTTGAAATAATTTCAAACTTAGAAGATTCAAGAATAGTAAAAATACCACTCCCACCCTCCATGCCCCCAACTCCCCTGGAACTAAGTTAAGAGCAAGTTGGTGACATAGGCCCTATCATTTCTGCATACTTACAGTATAGTGCCTTACAAATAAGGATATTCTCATAAAACCACAAAATAACCAACAAAATAAAAAAATTTGACAGATTCGTTATACTCATGTAATTCAGTCTCAGTTCAAATCTTGCCAATTGTCCCAATAATGTCCTTTTCTGTTATATTAAGTTGCCATTATCTCCTTAATCATCTTCAACTTAGAACAGCTCTTAACCTTTACTTGACTTTCATGGCTGACACTTTGTAAGATTTTGGTCCTTCCATTTGGAGCTGTCTGATTTTTTCCTCCTGATAAAATTCCCGTAATTTTTTTTGGGGGGGGGGCAGGAATATCACAGATGTGATGCTATGTTCCTTGTACTCCATCCCATCAACGTACACAATTCAGTTTATCCCATTATTGATCATGTCAACGTTAATCATTTGATTAAGTGATGCCTGCAGGTTTACTACTATAAAGTTATTTTTTTTTTCTTTTGTGAGCTTTTTTGCGGTAGGTACTTCTGAAATACATTTCCCATTCTTTATCAATTTGCATCCATCAGTTTCAGCATCTACTGATGTTTCTTTGCTAGGTGAATAATTGTGATGATGATTGCTAAATACAGACTTTTAAAAATTCCGCGTCATGTGAAACCAACAATTCCTCCATTAATTGATTTCTGCTTGTTTGCTTCTCCCTATTTATTTATATTAGTACAGATTTTAGGATTTATATTTTATTCAGTGAGTTTTAATCCATTCCTATCATTGGTATACAATTTGTGGCCAGTGGTAGCCCTTCGGTGTGGCTTCTATGTTTTCTGTTTTGCTTTAAATAATTAATCTTAGAATGGTTTTAGAGAGTTTTCTGTATACTCTTCACCCAGTTTCCCCCATTGTTAACATCTTACATTTCTGTGATACATTTGTCACAACTAAGGAATCAATAGTGGTACTTCACCATTAACTAAACTTCACACTTTATTCACCATTTACTAAACTTCACACTTTATTCAAATTTTAGTGTTTCCCTAATGTCCTGTTTTTGGTTCCAAGATCCTATTCAGGATATCACTTTACATTCAGATGTCAGGTCTCTTTAGCCTCCTTTGGTCTGTGTTCTATGTCCTTTTGTCACATTCTTATTATTCTTTGAACACTTCCTTATTTTATGCCATAACAAGATGTTTTAGGCTACTCTTGTGCTTTTCTTGCCCTAGCTCTGGAATCAGCTATTTCTCCAAGGAGACATGGTTTCCTTTCATGAAGAACTGTATTAAGAAACCTTGATCTGATTGCTTGTTGTTCTCATTACTATGTGATGTCATTGCTTCAGGCCCTCTCTGCTCTCTGCAGGTAAAGCAAGGGAATTCACACACACACACACACACACACACACACACACACACACACACCCCTCTATATAGCTATATATATATTAAAAATTATGAGTTCACACAAGTACAACCAATTCCAATTCGAAATTCTATTTTTTTCCCTTTCTATATTTGTAACTCCTGTCTGACAGTGAGAAACTCGATTCTGATTATCCTCAGTGTATTACTGGGTAATCCGTTATGTAATCTCTGATCAAGACTGCCATCTTCCATATATATGTCCCCTCTACTCTGTTTGGGCTCTGACAGCCTGCACCAGGCCTCCACCCTTGCTTGAATGCCTTTCTCCCTCCTCCTTATACTGTTATCTTCTGCATATCTACCTACTGCACAGACAATTACCTTGCTCTGCCCCATCTAGTGGACTGAGTTATTAAATAAGAAATGAAGGAATAAAAAAGGAAGAGTTAAAGAGGGAAGGAAGAGGAAAGAAGGAAGAAATAGGGCTTTATTGTTATGAGCTATGCAAAGGTCAGGAAACAAAGCCTAGACATTTTAGAAAATTCTATAGCTATTAGAGGGGAAACCTGAAGACAAGGAATATCTTGAAAGGGCTGAGAAAATGTCAGTGTAGAATTGTATACCCAGCAAAACTATTAAGAATGAAAGCTAAATAAAAGATTTTTAGGAAAAAACAAGCAAACAAACACACACTTATTAAAAAAACCAAAGGGAAAAAAGTCTACTAACAATAAGAAATGAATTTTCCAACAATGAGAAAAATGCATATTTTTAAGATTATATAAAATATTTATCAAAAATGGTTATATACGAGGAGCTAAAGGGCTCTCCTAAAGGATTAAGGAGGATAATGAAAGGGTAGAGATGCAAGAAGGAATAGTGAGCAAAGAAACTGATGACATATTTGGCAAATTGAAACAAACATCGATTTTTTTTAAAAAACAATGTATTTTATAGATTAAAAATTCTTGTCAAAATTAAAAGTTAAAGCTTGTTGAGTTCATTCAAGAGGTAGGAAAAGATTTTGAATGTTTGACTTTTTCTAAGCTATTTAAGTATTGAAAGAATAGAAATAAGGTATATAATAGGCCATATGTATTGGAGGTAGACTTTAGAGAATTACATGATTCAAATCCCAGCCCTGCCATTTGCTAGCTGTGTGACCTTGGGCAAAGAACTTTTCTGTGCCTAAGGTTTTGTGTGTGTGTGTGTGTGTGTGTGTGTATGGAAATACTAGTACCTAATTCATCGGGTTGTATCAAATTTATGAAAGCCATTTAGATTTAAAACAGTGTCTAATCTATAATACTGCTAAGAAGTTTCAAGCACAGTTACAAATTTCCAAAACAGTAGAGGGAAAATAATGGATTTATAGGAGGAAAAACCCCAATCCAAAAGCAATCAAGACAGAATAAAAAAGAAATACAGAAGTATGACAAATTGCACAAAATGAGAGCAAAAACATGCAAATATAGTAATAAAATAACACAATGTAATGTAAAATAATAGAATAATGTAAGGTAAATGGACCAAATTCTTCAGGTAAAAGACGAAGTTTGTCAAACTGGATTGAAATAAAGCCTAGTAATATGTTGTTTGAAAGAGATATAGCTAAAACACGAAGCCAATGGAAAAAGATAGGCCAGAGTCAATGGATGGGATTCTTCTTCCACTATTCCCTTCCCCTCTGGTCTTAGCCCACTCCCATGTCTCTCTTTAACCTCTTCCAGACTTTATCTCCTACCATCCCCACTCCCATGTCCCTGTTTGGCCCTTTTGTTCTCTAATGTTGGGCGAGGAGGATGCTCAGGTTCCAGCACTTCCTCCTTGGTCAACAGGTTCACACAGGATTTAGCCAAGGTGATTCTTGTGGGGGGCCAGGCTCCCACCCTCGCTTTTTAGTTCTGCCTCTCCCACCCCCCACGATTGGTGAGGCGGAGCGCACATCACCTCGATATAAAAGAGAAGGCTCGTGATGCAAGCTTGCCTCAGCGCCTGCGCATTGGATCCCTTGAGGCTGGCGCATGGTTAAGCTCGGTGTCCCGCCATCGCCGCTGCTCCGCGACGACCACTACCGCTCCCTGCTCTGCAGCCACTGCCAGTACCTGTGTTGCCCCCGCAGGACCAGCTGTATGATTAGGCCACGATCTTTAATGAGTAAACAAACTTCTTTCTGTGGTGTTCTTGGTCATGCATTTGTGGAGTTTCTAAAGAGCCCTGGAGATTACTGCCAGGCACAGCATGACCTTTATGAGGACCAGTGAACTGTAGAAATTCATTACTACTACACCAAGAAGCCCCCATAAGAACGGTTTTCTGGATGCAGACGTGCAGAATTGAAATCATCAGAGCTTTTTACTAGATTCTGACCTAGGTGGGGTAAACGTCGGTGCACCTCCTTTCCATTGACTCAGTATTACTGTACCGAAGGGTTGCTTCTTGTTAGGAGGTTCATTTCATTTCCTATTACTCCCAATTTCATATTCAAACCATTGAGAAATTTGGGAGGAGTATGTTGGAGTAGACTTCAGTTTCTTTACATCTTTTCCGTATTCAAAATTAAAAAATTTTTTTTTCCATAACTGTATTGCGTGTTTTTTAACTAAATTAATATGGTTCCAATGAACCACTCAGCCCCTGTGGAAGTCGCATACAGGAACATGAGATTTCTTATTGCACACAATCCAACCAGTGCAACCTTAAACAAATTTATAGAGGAACTTAAGAAATATGGCGTTACCACAATAGTAAAAGTGTGTGAAGCAACTTATGATACTGCTCTTGTGGAGAAAGAAGGCATCCAGGTTCTGGATTGGCTTTTTAATAATGGTTCATCACCGTCTAACCAGATTGTTGATGATTGGTTAAATCTTGTAAACATCAAATTTCGTGAAGAACCTGGTTGTTGTATTGCTGTTTACTGTGTTGTAGGTCTGGGGAGAACTTCAATGCTTGTTGCTCTAGCCTTAATCAAAGGTGGAATGAAAAATGAAGATGTAGTACCGTTTATATGACAAAAACGGTGTGGAACTTTTAACAGCAAGCAACTTTTGTATTTGGAGAAATATCGTTCTAAGATGCGGCTGCACTTCAAAGACTCCAGCGGTCATAGAAACAAATGTTGCATTCAATAAAACTTGGCTGCCTGATGCTGTTGCCTTAGGAGTGGAACCTGAGACAGGACTTAGTGTATCATACATATTAGCCAACATCAGAATTACAACCTCTATGTTTGGTTTACTACTAATCCCATGCCAGAAACAATATGTAAGAAATCAAGAGATTAGATGCCAAAATACTCAGCACAATACTTCTATATTTTTAGTACCATACAGAATTAAAATCTTAGGAATTGTGGACAGCACTGTAAACCATATGTAGTTTATTCCTTCTCCTTGTATGTCTACTTTATGTTTACCACCTCACATGTATACCAGTATACAGCATGTTTGTGCAACAGTTGATTTTGTTAGATTCTTACCAAAACTAATGGTGATTATTTAACGTCTTTCTATAAATCTCATTTTGTGCTGTTATGAAAACCACCATTTTGAAAAAAATTACAAATGTCTGGTTGAAAATTCATGTAAAGTACACATTGTACAGAAGCACATGTGTGTATTGTCTTCAGACAAAAAAGCCTCACAGTTGATTTAATGTTCACACCTGGGATGCAACTTAGAGAGGAGGGCTTGAAAACAGAATAGGATGAGGCTATGAAATACTTCTAGCAAAATGTTGCCTTTGTCTTGTGTAGAATATATAGACTAGGTCCTTTTATTTAATAAACATTTTTTAAAGGTAGAGATGCTTTATAGCTAAAACATTTTTAAATTATAAAATTTATGAAAATCTAAGAATTCTTTGTCATACCTATTAGAAGTTGTTTGTTAACTCCTATTTTTGTTTCAAGTATGATATTTTTTTCTTGTCTTCCAAACCAAAAAAGAAGTAGGTTTCTACCAATAAATTGATCAGACATCTAATATTGTATATGCTTTTTGAACTATGTAATTTTACATTTGGATACTTGGTAGTTTGTTTTATTATATAATTTATAAAATGGCAATATGTATTAATGTTAGTTTAACTATATATTCATTCTGTCTGGAAATACATTTCTGCAGGATAGATAATGTCTCTGTCCACCATTCACCAGTTAGTATAAGAGCTTAAATACTTAAATAATGAATTGTGAGAGAAACTTTATCTAAGCAAGACGGTACGGCTATGCTAATTTTAGTAAAAGAAGCAAAGGCATGACTAGAGATAGACAAAATCAATATTTCAAGTTTCAATTGTTCCAAAATATATAAAACAAATATGGAGAGAACTACAAGGAAAACGTTTACCATAGTGGTGGGAAATTTTAGTTTCCTTTCAGAAACAAATCAGATATAGATTTGGACAAAACAATAAACTTGATTCCATGAACAACAGGAAGGATCTATATTTTTTTCATCAATACCTGAAATATTTTATTGAATTTGACTATATATTTGACCATAAAAATTTCAGCAGATTTTAAAATATTTGAATAATACAAATAACTTTTCTGATTACAATTCAATTAGATTAGGAAAAAAATTAATACCCACAGACTTGGAATTTTGAAAATCTGTCTAGAGACTTCCATTTCCAGGTACGGTGTAGTAGATCATGGCAGCCCAACACCCTTGCACCAACCAGAATAATACATATGTTTAAAGACGTGAGAGCTGTGAAAGCAACAAGGACGAGGTGAATAGGAATTCCGGAGAGGGAGTAGGCCTGCTGGGGCGAGTGGCCATTTTGTTCTCTGGTAATATTTCCTGATTCTGGACTTGGACTAAGGCTCAGGCTTGGTTCATGCAGGGGGAAAGAGAAACCCAGCAATGCTTTGGTGGCCATGTGGGGCTGGTGCAACAGGCTGGAAAACTGAGAAGCTTGGCGAGTTTCCTCTTGGCCTATTGCAAGTTGAGTTCCTCAGGAAACAAATACTGAACCTGGAATTTGCATTTGGAGGTTTACTGGAGAGTCATCTCAACAAAATTCGTGGAAGCAAGAGAACCAGGAAATGGCAGAAGAAGTTGAGTGGTGATACATATAGTTGCAACAGTGGCCTCAGCCTATCTTGTATGAAGTTCTGAAGCTGGGATGACCATTTAGGAATGTCCCCAATAGAGGTAAGGGGGTTGGGCCTTTGAACTTGAATCAACCAGTCGTTGGGTGCAGGCTGTCCCTGGGGATGTCCCTTGGATGCAGCGTCATCTTTCAGTCAAGTGCAGTTCTCAAGGAGGGATGCACTTATGGAGTCTTCAGATGATGATACCCCTGGCAGCTGGGGGAATGAGTGTTGCAGATGTAAAGGGATCTAGGTAGTGCAACCACAGCATCTACTCTTCTAAATGACACTTGCTGAGTTCTGGGGCTATATGAGGGTCTGGGGAGTTAGAATGAAGATTTTTAAAAGACAAATGGAAATCTCCCTTAATCTCATAGTGCTAAGGAGACAAAGTCTTGCTAGAAGAAGAGATTCCAACCCTCATCAACACTTATTGTCTTGTCTTTTTTATTATAGCCATTCTGGTGAGTGTGAAGTGATATCTCATTGTGGTTTATTTTCCATATAACTAATGATGTTAAGCATCTTCTCCAGTGCTTGTTAGCATTCACATATCTTTTTCAGTAACAGTCGATTCAAATATTTTGCCTCGTTTTTCAACTGAGTTTTTGCTGAATTGAAAACTTCATGTATTTTGGATCCAACACTGTTTTCAGATACATAATTTGCAAATATTTTCTCCCAGCCTATTGCTTATCTTTTTTTTTTCTCTTAATGGTGTATTTCAAAGGGCAAAAAGTTTAAATTTGATGAAGTACAATTTATCAATTTTTTAAATGAATCATGCTCTTAAAATGTGTCTAAGAATTCGGTCACAAAGATTTTTCTGCTATATTTTCTTCTAGAAGTTTTATGGTTTTAGCTCTTACATTTAGGTCTGTGCTCCATTTTGAGTTAATTTTTTGTGTATGGTGTGAAGTAAATGTCTAAATTATTATTTTTTTTGCATGTGGATATCCAGTTGTTCCAGCATCATATGTTCAAAAGACTATCTTTTACCCCATTGAATTATCTTGAGAGCTTTGATGAGAAATCAGTTTACCATAAATGTAAGCACTTATTCATGAATTCTCAATTCTGTTCCATCGATTGACATGACAACACAGTATCAATCGATATAGCTTTATAATAGTAGGTTTTGGAATTGGTTAGCATACTTGGTTATTTAAAAAAAAAATGGCTATTCTAGGTCCTTTGCATTACCATATAAATTTTAGAATCAGTCTGTTGATTTTTACAAAAAAGGCCTGCAAGGATTTTGAGAGGTATAATGTTGAATTCATAGGTAATTTGGAGATAATTGAAGTCTTAACAATATTAGTCTTTAAGTCCATGAACATGAAACACTCTCATTTATATCTTCAATTTCTAGTTTTCAGTGTACAAGACTTATACTTCTTAAATGTCTAAGTATTTTTTTGGAATATTATTGTGAATAAAATTGTTTTAATTTTATTTCTAGATTTTTTGCTGCTAGTGTGTAAAAATACGATTGAGTTTTGTATATTGATTTCGCATCCTATAACCTTTCTAACTCATTTATTGGTGGGAGTGGGGGGAGGGGGAGAGAGAGAGAGAGACAGAGACAGAGACAGAGAAGCACTATTTTATTCTCTACAGGATTATGCCATCTGTGAATAAAGGCAATTTTACTCTTCCTTTCCAATCTGGATGACTTTCATTTCTTTTTCTTTCTTTATTGAAATGGCTAGACCCTCCCATGTTACTAGAAGTGGTAAAAACAACATTTTTGCCTTGTTTCAGATCCTAAGGAGAAAGTATTCATTCTTTCACCATTGAGTATGATGTTAGTCTTTGGTTCTTCATAAGGTCGAGGATGTTCTTGCCTATTCCTGGTTTGTTGACAGTCCTATCGTAAATGGGTGTTGCATTTTTTTTCAAATGCTTTTTCTATATCCATTGACATAATCTTGCAGTTTTTCTTTCATTCTGTTAATATCATATATTACCTTGACAAATTTTTAAATGTTAAAACAACTTTACATTCCTGGGACAAATTACACTTGCTCACTTTGTGTAATCCATTTATATTGATGAATTTGGTTGCTAATATTTTGTTAATTTTGCATTTATATTCATGAAGGATATTTGTCTATAGTTTTCTCTTCTTGTGTTGTCTTTATTTGGGTTTGATACCAAGGTAATACCAGTATCACAAAACGACTTGGGAAGTGTTTCCTCCTCTATTTTCTGAAAGAGTTTGTGAAGGATTGGTATTGTTTCTACTTTAAATATTTGATAAAATTCACCAATGAAGACATCTGGGCATAGGGTTTTTTGTTTTTTTGTTTTTTGGTTTTTTTTGGTGGGGGGAGATTTTAAATTTTAAATTCAATTTCTATACTTGTTATGGGATTTCTGCTTTAGTTTTTGCTCACTTTGGATTTTGTTTGCTTTTCTTTTTTTTAGTTTCTTGAGGAAGCTTATGTTACTGCTTTGAGACTTTTCTTTCCTGATTCAAAACTATAAAATTTCCCTCTAAGCACTGCTTTAAGTACGTTACATTAATTCTGATTTTTTTTTCACTCAATTCAATACATATAATTTACCTCGTGATTTCTTCTTTGAACTATGGGTTATTTAGAAATGTATTACTTAATTTTCAAATAATTGGAAATTTCTCATTTTTTTCCGGTTGTTGATTCCTCTTTTAATTATTAATCCTTTCCTTCATGGAGTCAGTTGCATGTACAGCAGCACAGGCCTGGAAGTGCAGATGTTTAGTGACAGGCAGATGTTCAGTGTGATTGGACAAAGGAAATGTAATTTGTATCTTCTTTTTGTCTTGGGCAGTATAGCTAAAGTTTGTTGATTTAGTTGATCTCTTTAAAGAACCTGTTTCTGTTTCATGAATTTTCTCTACTATTTTTCTTTTCTATTACATTGAGTATAAAGGAAGTATCGTTGGGGTACAGGGGAAGTTGTGGGACAAGATATAGAAAAGATTGTATAAAAGGTCCCCTGGTGTTCAGAGTGCAACTTCACTCTTCAGACTCTCTTCTAAAGAGT